AAAAAACTGCTAACCTTAACGCAGCTCCGAATTTTGAAGAGATCCGACTTACTGTTGAACTAACAGTAGCATCCAGTGCATTAATCACAACTAGATTTGACAGCAACACTTCGTCCGTAACCTTGAACAAAAAAACCTTGGGAAGGAATTTGAAAAGTACTCTGCCTCTGGTATAAATAGATGCAGTCAAAAATAAATGGTCTGATTTAACTAACTTGCTTATAATGCCGGATGTAACGGTCTAAACCTACGATTAGTCTTAGGAAAAGAGATAAAACAGAATGAAGGTCCTTCTGGACAACGCCATAGCCGTCTTCCTCATATGAATGCCAAATAAGCATACCGAGGCCTAAAACAAACTCGAAACGAGAGTGACAATGACACGAATAATAATAATAATAATAATAATAATAATAATGACAATGATAGTAACAATAAAAATAATAAATAAAAATAATAACAACAGTGATAACTGAATCTGACTTTCGATACATAATATTGCTAGATTTCCTTCACAACTGGAAAATGATAGATAGGGACGACTTGCAAAATACGACCACCTACTAAACATACCAGCTAACGCATCAAAGATAGTGGTTTTTTCAGGTGGTCTTTCTGAGGCATCTGAATTCATAACACGCCTCCGAAGACTCATATCTACAAAAGTAAATTCAAAGTAAACTTTTGATTAATTAATAAGGCTACACTTGCTTAAAGATCAAAGTATAAAATAAGATTCCTAAAAAATACCTTTGTAAAGCTGACCAGCCAACAAAATAGTTGCTCCTCTTTTACCACCCCTCTTATTCCCGTCATCATCCGGCATCTAACAGACAAAAAACTTATTGTGTACACAAATAAATGATAAAAAAAATAATTTGTACTTATCTTAACAGAGGCAGATATTTGCAGCGTATTTGCAGTGATTAAAGGGAAAGAAATTATAACCGACAACTGCCCACTGCGTTTATCCTCCCTATTTCCCCCCTTCATTTTCAATCCTCCTCTCCCCTCCTCCTTAGGAAAAACCAATAATGATAATGTACAAACTAGAGTTTCATAGGTCTCTCGATGAATCTGGCTAGTTTCCAGCCCCACTTGGTTAGTTATAGAAGTAAGTACTTTCATGCAAGCATCCTTCACTGCATTCCAATTACGAGGATGGCCACCTGTAAGAGAAAAACAAGAGTGACCATTACAAAAATAAAACCATCTATGGTAGTGAGAGTTTCATCGAACGAAGCTGAAGACGACACAACAGTATGAAGTAACTAGCCAGGTTGAGAGAGAGAAAATATGGCCTTTCTGCGATCGCTACTTTTTATAGCTAATTCACGTACGTCCCATAATGCGAAAGCCTACAGTGCAAAATGCCAATAAAAGAAGCTGGTTCAGAAACTGAAACTGAAGACTCAATCTATAAGACGCAAAAAGAATTAAAATACCTTGAGTGTAATAGAATCAGATTCCAGTGCTGTCAACAAATCTGGAATTTCTTCTGAATTCCTTCTTGCTACAAAGTACGGTGGAGGAATTGGAAAGGTGTAGTGCTAGAAAATGCAGAAATAATTTATTTTACGCTCCTGTACGCAAATATTGCGACTCAGTGTCGTACAAATAGGGTGAAAAGAATATTACCAGTAACGCACCTGAAGTATATATCCTTTGAGAATTGTGACACCAAGATAATGCGAAAAAAGTTCTATGAAACACAGCAGGATCCAACTAAAATACTGTCTTACATCGAATAATCTACCAAAGTACGCCCATCCAAAGCAAGGAAACCCTTAAAAATCCGTTTGGCTTGCCGGCAAAAAAAAAAAGATTTAATACAAGAAATTAAAATATATGGAAACGCTAATGCAATGCAACCTACCAATTAAAGTACATGTAAAAACCGTCCATTTTGCAATTGGAAAGATATTTCGCAATACTCTATCCCTTTCAGCGTTAAACGCTGCTTGTATCAAATCC